TTTTAGATCCTCTGTCCTCCTCTCTCTTACCCCCCTCCCCTGCTTGTGCTCTCCCAAAATATAAATATTTTAAAAAGCAAAGAACAGTTTTTATGAGTAGTAGACTCTGATTCAGTAATAAACAAACACATTATTCAGATGATACATGGAGGAAAATTAAGCAAGGTAGGGGAATAAAGAGTATTATGAAGTCGGAGGAGGAGGTGGGCTTATCTTACAGAAGCTCGTCAAGGAAGTCCTCACTGGTAAGACGGTAAGGGACCCTTTGAGAAGAAACCCAAAAGACATGAGGAAGCCAGTCGCCTAAGTATCTGGGGGGACAGCCTTCCCAGAAGAGGAAATGGCAAGTGAAGGGCCCGGAGATAGGCCGCCTGGGTGTATTCAAGTAAGAACAGAGAGACCAGGGAGTGCAGTGGAGCAAACAAAAGGCAGAGCAGGAAGACATGGTAGGTGGGCCATCATAAGGATGCCACCTTCACTCCGAAGCCATGGTTGGTGCAGGGGGTGGTGGGGAGGGTGGTAGGGGGTGGTGTTCGGATGGGGAGGAGAGCGTGGGAGTAACAGGATCTGACTCACGTTTCAAGAAGTTTACACCGGCTGTTTTGTGGAAAACAGAGAGGGTAGATGGCAAAAGCAAGGAGACTAGGCAGAAGGCCGTTGCAACCACCCTGGGCACCTGGGGAGGTGGTGGTGGCTTAGGGCATGGGGCAGTGGCACAAGTGTCAAGGTGTGGTTGGAGACTTGACACATTTTTGAGTTAACGATATTTTCTGATAAATCATGGGTGATTGAGAAAAGGTTTGTTATTCACTCACCCTATTATCATCACCCCCAGAAAGAGAAAATTAATCTCACAGGGAACAAGAAAGTCAAATTTCTCTCAAGCCACACTGTGGTGAGCAAAGCTTCAGCAGATTTGAAGGGTTAGGAGCCAAGAACAATGTGACTTGAAAGGTTTTGTAAGCAGGAGGAGAAGCCAGAACTTTTCAATATAAGGACATAAAATAGTCTGTGAAAATAAAAAAAAAAATTTAAGAGATACATTAAAGGTGAAAGGAAAATGTTACAACCTGGATGAGAGGTGCACAATTAATGACCTCTAGTCACAGAATATAGAATGATGGAGAATTTCATCTACCAAAATCAGACGATTAATTGAAAGAGGTTGCAGTGAAAATTGAATAAAGCTGAAACTTAAAAAAAATTCCCAGAGGATACTTAATATATTCGTTGCAAACAATATTCCAGCTGAACCTCATGTACTTGGGAAGGAGGGCACCTATAGAGCCCCATCACCTACACAGGTGATGGAAATGATCCTCATGGACCTTTCCTGAGCCCTCTAGCCAGATGCAACCTATCATTCTCCTTAATTGAGAACATTTCCTTCTTCCCCCTCTTTTGGGAAAAACACATTTTGCCTTGAATTATAATTATCTGTATACTGATAAGAAGAGATACTACACTTGATCTTAGCCAAAAGGCCGAGAAGCGATATATAATTATCTGTATACTAGTGTAATTCCCTCTAGCAGATGTATTTACATCTTGTTACCCATCTCACTGCTTTGCTGATATGTTCGATATGGAGATTTGATCACACACGAAAAGAAAACACGACCCTGCTTTTACTTTTCAGAAGTTTGTTGATGTTGACAGTACGGGCTCTAGGATATTTTACCAAGTTTTCTATTTTTGCCAAATCATATAGTGGCTCAACAATAGTTATGAAATGTGGAAACAATCTTCAATAATACCTAGTAATTCCCCAGTCTTGTTCCTTCCTTGCTAAAGATTGACATTCTTTGGAGATGTCTGGCTGGCTCAGAAGAGCATGAGACTCTTGATCTCGTGAGTTTGAGCCCCACGTGGGGTGTAAAGGTTAAAAAAAAAAAAAAAGATTGACATCCTTTGATAACTCCCACTTTATGCCCCCCAAATAGATCTTAATTCCCATCTGTTGCCCTGTGCTTAAATTATAGTCATCCAAATTTAAATATGTTGACTCTTAGATCACTTTTAGGAAATGCATCGTTTTAAAATGAGATATTTGTCTAAAAATCATGGCAAGGTTAAATTGTCATCTTTTAAGTTTATATAGATACCACAATCCATTCACCAATCCTTAAAATGATGACTAACCAATCTTTTTTTTTTTTTTTTTAACATTTATTTTTGAGAGAGAGACAGAGTGGAGTTGGGGCAGAGAAAGAGGGAGACACAGAATCTGAAGCAGGCTCCAGGCTCTGAGCTGTCAGCACAGAGCCTGACGCGGGCTCGAACTCATGAACCGTGAGATCATGACCTGAGCTGAAGTCAGACACTGAACCTGAGCCATCCAGATTCCCCATGACAAGCCAAGCTTAATGACATTTGACCCGACCCAGACCGAGACTATTTCTACATTTGCAATGCTCACTGGATCTGATATGTAAAGCTCCTTATCTTTAAAAAAAAAAAAATTTTTTTTTTTTACATTTATTCATTTTTGAGAAACAGAGTGAGACAACGCATGAGCCGGGGAGGGGCAGAGAGAAGGAGACACAGAATCCGAAGCAGGCTCCAGGCTCTGAGCAAGCGGTCAGCACAGAGCCTGATGTGGGGCTCAAACCCACAAACTGCGAGATCATGACCTGAGCCGAAGTAGGACGCTCAACCAACTGAGCCACCCAGGCACCCCAAAGCTCCTTATCTTAAGACCACAAACTTTTTTCATCTTCTGGAATGCATCTCCCTCCTCACCCTTGTTTACAAGACTGGAAATGCAACATCTAAACTAGGCTGAAAAAGCTCCAGTCTAATCCTGTCCTTTTGGCTACGTAGATACATTGGATGAAGGGGAGCTATCAAGCGCAGTACTCTATCTGCCCCTCTTAGGAGTTTTTAATCTCCAATTGTTGTTTTAACTGGGTCAGTAATTATTATAAAAGTGTTTCAGGTTATAGGAGCAAGAAACATTAGGAAAAAGTAGAAGAAAAAACCTTATTGGAGTACATGAACTTACCACCTTCAGATCCATTTTCTGGTGTTCTGTGGCCTAAGCAATCAGTCAACAAATGTTCATCAAGATGCTATTTTATAATGGGCACTGGAACAGCTTTTGTCAGAGATCCCAAGAAGGATTTTTTAAAGAAAGTAGACCCTGTCTTCTAATAGAAGACAAACACAAGAAAATGTAAAAACAACGAAAAAGAAAGTAAGGAACAGGGCTCCACAGTTCACAAAGTTACAGTTAATTGCAAATTCATTGTTCAAGGAATAAAGCCTTAAGCACTGAAAGGAGAAAGACTTTCTGTGAGCTATAATGGGATGGAAAAGCTTCAAGGAGTGAGATTTGAGGAAGATTTTAAAGAACTGTGGAAAACCTGGGTGGTTCAGTTAGTTAAACGTCTGACTTCAGCTCAGGTCATGATCTTGCGTTCCGTGGGTTCGAGCCCCACGTCGGGTTCTGTGCTGACAGCTCAGAGCCTGGAACCTGCTTCCGATTCTGTGTCTCCCTGTGTATGAGCGGGGACTCACACACACACTCTCTCAAAAATATTTTTAAAAATTAAAAAGTTTAAAGAACTGCCAGGTTGACAGGCTTTGAGTAGTCGAGAGGGCAACGGAGTACCACAGTTTAGAAGGACCACATAACAAAAGCACAAAGAGGACCTTAAGAGGCACTATAGGACAGTGTGTACAGCATTTGGGCTATGCTAGAAAGCTGAGGAAAATGAACAGCTGAAGAAGGAAAGTTTGGGGCAGATGGCAGAAAGCCTTTAGTTTCAGGATAAGGAGTTGGGGCTTAATCCTTTAGTCCTGAGTGACTCATGATAGCTTCTGATCAGGTGAGCCAACTGATAATGCTTTAACAACTTCAAAAGACCATGAAAAACATGGTCACTAGTCCTCTGGGACTTCAGGATCCTAGGGGAGGAGACCAGATAGGGTCTCTGATGGTTTGAGTAGAAGGCACACCACCCTGGCCTTTTCATTTAACTTTTCCTACCATAAGATGTGCTGCATAATGATTTCCTTTCTTTCACTGGGAAATTATAATTCTCAGTGAGTCATTCCTCTCGCCAGGGAAAATGACTCAGAAAATCTTCATTTCCCAGTGAAAGAAAGAAATCCTATATAGCCCATTTTATGTAACTTTAATTGGATGTAAATTTGAACTCTTACATTATAAAATTCATTTTAAGTGCAAACTTGTCAATTCCTTAAAGTTTATCAATAATGGCCTAATTTCAAATCTTGACAAATGAATCTGAAACTAAGATTTTTCCCTTTAACTTAGGGTAGGTTTTACTGGGCAAACATTCACCAGCCTGGCCAGATTGGCCCGGTTATGCAAGTTTTGAACTAAGGGATCTTTAGAAAGCCATTTTATATGCTAACTGTGGCCATTTGCACATCATGCATTTTTTTTTTTAAATAAATGCACCTGAGAACACCAAAAACCACTTCCCCAAGTTCCCACCTCCAACCTATCAGGAAATTCAAGGAGAGGCACCTGGGAGGGCTTAGTAAGCAGCAAAGTGGCTTTTATAGCTAGGAAATTGTTACAGAAGACAAGGTCCTTGCCCTGGAGAAGATCGTTTTCCTGTGGAGGAGTGTAAGCAACCACAGCAAATCTGTGTTCTTCTCAGCTTTCACCAAGAGCAAGAACATGCGCTAGGTGGTGGGGCTGAGGGAAGGTTTGACCCAAATGAGAATTAAATCCTGATGGAAGGGAAGTCTGGGAGCTTGGTCTACCAAACACCACAGGAGGACTGAGGTTACAGGCCAGGCGAAGTCTTGGCTGTAGGCACAGTCCTGTACATTAGGTTAGGTTTCCCGGCATCCCTGGCCCTTACCCACTAAATGCATTAGCATTCCTCCCAAGAGAGGATTTGTCTGTAGGTATTACAAAATATCCCATATCCCACAGGATGGGGGCAAAAATCTGTACCTGATTGAGGTATGGGGCTAGAAGGAAACGAGGGGAGGATTGCTAGATCAGAACTACAAAGGGCAACAGACTAAAGCAGACTTTATTGGAAACCATTTGTGACAAACGCCTAGAAGCGTTTGTTACAGATTGGAACTAAGAAACAGTGGGACCAGAGAGCTATCTGTATACTAAGGAAAACAAACGTCAGCTGGCCTAAGTTTCGTGTTGACATACAGCGTTAATAAAGTAGAACAGCACCCCACCGCCAGAAATCAAAAAAACCCAGAACTGCATCAACTTTGCTTACTGTTACCTGTACCTCAGTTTCCTCTAGAAGTAGGCAGAGACCATTTTTGAGGACGAGTTTTGTTACCAGGAAGAGTCGTGCCACTAGGGGGACACCACCGCACTATAGGAGATTCCAGGTCTTAACCAGGGCAAGCTTGATCAGTCGTAACCTGACCCCATGCCCAAATATTTGAGACCACAAGCCCACCCAACCTAAAAGCCACCCAAGCGTTTAACAAGTGTGGACAGCCGCTTCCTGTGACAAGTTAAGTGGCTCTGAAAAGAGCCGTTGGGGTAAAAGTAGCTGTTCTGTTGCGTCCTTTGCACGCCCTTACTTTGAGCTGGTGTATTTGGTGACAGCCTTGGTGCCCTCGGACACGGCGTGCTTGGCCAGTTCGCCGGGCAGCAGCAGACGCACGGCCGTCTGGATCTCCCGGGACGTGATGGTCGAGCGCTTGTTGTAATGCGCCAGGCGAGAGGCTTCACCGGCGATGCGCTCGAAGATGTCGTTGACGAACGAGTTCATGATGCCCATGGCCTTGGACGAGATGCCGGTGTCCGGGTGAACCTGTTTCAACACCTTATACACATAGACGGAATAGCTCTCCTTACGACTACGCTTGCGCTTCTTGCCGTCCTTCTTCTGCACTTTCGTAACAGCCTTCTTAGAGCCCTTCTTGGGAGCGGGAGCCGACTTCGCTGGATCAGGCATTTTTGCTAGAAGAAACGCCACACAGCCGAAACGATCCGGACTACATTCAAGCGGCTTCGTTACGCGCTACTTATAGAGCCCGTATGCAAATGAAGGCTCGCATAGGACTGCATTTTTATTGGTTAATTTCCAACAAGGTCGTCATACAGGGGGTGGAGTCTATGCAAATAATAGCTTCTGCTAGCGCTTCCTTAATGGCTATCAGAGCAAACGTCTTCTTAGCCAATTGAAATGTTCCGTTTCAGACCAACCAATAAGTTACGTAAAAGTATAGTTCACCTGTTTGGGGTGTTTGGGGATGGTTATTACTTTTCAGTTGTACTTGCATACGGAAAAGATCCGAAGTGCCCGTTTCTATTTTTGCATCACTTTACTTACTACACTGTGGAAGTTTGTTTTGCCTTTGGGTTTCGGAGCAGTAACAAACATCTCAAAAAAAAAAAAAAAACCCAACCCATCAGGAATTTCCCTCAAATTCCTATTCGTGTTTGCGCTGCCTGTCTTATGCAATAGGGTATTAGATATTAGATCCATACAACTCAAGACACATAAGCCAGGAAAAAGGCTCCCATTTGCAAACCAGGACTTACATCCAGCTTAGTCTTAACCGTAAAATCTAGTTGAAAACCCAAATCCCCAACCCGGCAGTTATCACAAACCCACACGACCTCCCTCCCGCTTCGTTTCTATATCCAGATTCGTGCTAACGCTTTGTACGAGTAGCGTGTTAACGTTACAAACGACTAGTAGAGCAGAGTCCACCCCCTTGCAAGTTTTTCCTCAAACTAGTAAGGCTGACGCTGTAGACTGTAACTCAACATATGTAAAAGCTTAGGCAAAAGCGATCTAAGCCCGCTTCAGCTGTTCCTCTAGTGCCTGTCAGCCGACCAAAGTTCAGACGTTGTGATCTTCCTACCCACCATGTGCGAGTTTCCCCTCATCCGTCTACCCAGAGCACCAGTGCACAACAGTACACCCCACGCCAGGTGAGATAGGCGACACAGCTACTCCTCGTGAAAACATGGGTGGCTCTGAAAAGAGCCGTTAGGTGGTCCACTTAAAAGCACAGGCCTTAAGCCCGCTCCCCGCGGATACGGCGAGCCAGCTGGATGTCCTTGGGCATGATGGTGACGCGCTTGGCGTGAATGGCGCACAGGTTCGTGTCCTCGAACAGCCCCACCAGGTAGGCCTCACTCGCCTCCTGCAGCGCCATCACGGCCGAGCTCTGGAAGCGCAGGTCCGTCTTGAAGTCCTGCGCGATCTCGCGCACCAGCCGCTGGAACGGCAGCTTGCGGATCAGCAGCTCGGTGGACTTCTGGTAGCGCCGGATCTCCCGCAGGGCCACGGTGCCCGGCCGGTAGCGGTGCGGCTTCTTCACGCCGCCCGTGGCGGGCGCGCTCTTGCGGGCCGCCTTGGTGGCCAGCTGCTTCCGCGGGGCCTTGCCGCCGGTCGACTTGCGGGCGGTCTGCTTTGTACGGGCCATGATGCCTTACTGGCTTTATTCAAGAAGTACTAGGCAGTCATATTTATAGACATAGCCTCCTCTTGATTGGACCAGAACGGTTAAGAACTTCCAGACTTGTGATCTCATTGGCTAGATTTCAATCCTTTTTTTTACTTGGGTAGATTATAATGCTAATCTCTTTCCCTTATTACTTCATCTTTCCGTACTTTTCTGTAATTTTATCGGTCACAGATTTTTTTTTTTTAGGCCTTTCCTTTAAATTGATGTCACTTTTGTAAGAGCAGTTTTGAAAGTGTTTTTGCAAGCTTGGGATTCAGGTTCCTTCGAAATAAAAGCGTGCCTTCCCATGAGCTAGGTTTCAGTCTACATTTCTAGCTGAGTTACTGTAACTCCAATACCACAGCTAACATTTTGCGCCTCACCCTCTGCTAAGCGCGTTAGTTGCATTACAGTATGACTGGAACTCAACAAAACAATATGCAGTTGAAAGAACCAAACACTGAATTTACCTTTACCCAACTTCGGAACTACGCCGAAGCCCTGTGCTGATCACCACCGACTTGCAGTGTAGAGCCTTGAGCCTTCCCCCTTTCTTTAACCTTTTCACCTTGGAACGCGCCTCCCTCCCCTCAATGGCCAATTAGGTCCAAGAGACGAAACGCGTCTAAATCAGGGAATATAAGACGAGAAACGTTATTTTCTCCTTTATAATGGTGAATAGTTTCTAAATAGGCAATTTGCTGGTCGGTCAGATTAAAAGCTAAAATAAAGTTTCAAAGTAAACAAATTACTTGTTGATTACGGAGTTACTAACATATTTTCTTCAATTAAGTAGTTTCGTCTAAAAGTTTCACCTGAAAGTTTCATCTTTTTTATTCTCTATAGAGAAATCGAAGATCCTCTGCTTTTCAGTTGTTTCATATGCTTTGTAGCATTGCTTGGAAAACTGCATGTCATGAAACAAGTGATGTAAGGTTACCAATGCTTAAATTGGTGAATACTTAACATAAAAATTTTAATCGTATGTTTATTCTATTGAAAAAGCCTTGCATCCAAACCTTTAGTAACTCACACCTGTGAACAAAATCAAGCCCAAGAAGCTTAAAACTTACTTTATGGTGTCAATATGAATTACCATCTTCCTGCTAGGGGCAAGTGATTTTGAGGCGATTTCCTGAACACTAAATAACTTAGAAACTTTGTATTTACAAGAGTTCCCATCAGCAGCACAATCTGCTCTAGGGAGACCTAAGATGTCTTGCAAAAGTGTTAACTGATGTGAACAACTGTTACCCCTTCCTGTGGCCAGTTTGTGATAATGACTAACACAGAGAGAGCACTACTTGGTATTTAAAAATTCTTCTGCATACACTGCTTCATTTAATCCCAACTCTGTGGAGATGTTACTTTCCTCATTTTACAGATAAGGAAACTGAGTCTCAGAGAAATTATGGCTTGTCCTGGACAAGTAACAAGGCCTGCATAATATTCTAAAGGAAAAGAATGGAATTATAGTGGATTTCCAGTTTCATCAGCCTTGGGGTACATTTTAAAGCAATGAAGAATTTTCCCATCATGCAATCAAATGGCTCAATGTTTCTCAAACTTCTCCACTGAACTATTCCCATCAGAAGAGGAAACTACCAAGGGGGGGGGGCGGGGGGGGGAGTCTTGGATGACAGCCCAAAACAGCCTACACAAGTGTCAACATTTCTTTGCAGTGTTCTTTTTCAATCTATGTACTCTTGGCCCTGGTGTTCATTTAAATAAGAAAAAGATTCTCAAGCTGTTGTTAGGGAGGAAAAACTTTGCCCTACCCCTGAAGGTTTTTTGGCTGGTCTAAGAATTAAATTGACATGAGACAGATTAACAGGAGAAAACTATAGAAGAATATGAGGCCCCCCAGGCAGTTCAGGCTTATGTGCCATCGATAGCTAACAAAGGGGTTGAGGTCTGGGACTGCAAACAGAAGGAAGACAATTACAAGATGAACATGAGTAAAAGTTTGGTAAACAAATGTTTGCTGGGCCAGATAGAAACAATGGAGCATAGAAAGGGATTTTAACAACTAGACTTTGCTAAGTTCCTCCCTGTCTGTCACACCTAGTTCGTATTATACAGTAGTTCTCTATGGTGATAGCTCCCCTCCTAGAGCAGGTCCTCTATCTAAATTCTCTTATGCAATTAGGAGGGAGGCAAAAAGAAAAACTTCTTGAGTCTTCTGCTTCTTAAAAATAATCGGCCTAAAATAATCCACATACCAAAGAAACATATTTGGAGGTAGCAAAATTTTGCTCCCCTACAATGTATATTCATATAGAATCCAATAGTCATGGGGTGTATTTTCTCTTTATAATATAGAGAATCAGAAAATTCCAAACCTCTTCCTCTGGCGTTTCTCAGAATAGAACAATCTGTTATTTACAGATGCCAAAGGCAGACCACTCCAAGATGGGCCACTTTGGCATGAAGATTATTTCAAGTTAAAAAGTGATCAAAACCCAGCAGATTCAGGAAAAACGGTTTACCTGAAAAGCATTTCTTTAAAACAATTTTTTTTTTAAATTTAAAAAATGCTTAGTTTTGAGAGGGAGAAGGAGAGGTGGCAGAGGGTGGGGGGGCAGGGGGGCAGGGCAGAGAGAGAGAAAGAGAGAGAACCCCAAGCAGGCTCTCCCTGACGTGGGGCTCAAACTCACAGACCCTGAGATCATGACCTGAGCTGAAGTCTAGAGGCTTAACTGCCTGAGCCACGCAGATGCCCCTGAGAATTTAGATGGAAGGCCTGTTTCAGGATGAGAGCTACCATCATAGATGGTCTGCGTGACTTCCCTGTACATACCAAATTAAATTTTATTTTCTCTGTTAATCTGTCTCATGTCAGAGTAGAAGGTAGGTCTGGGTAGAAGGACCTTGCAGGGGTGATTGCTGTGAGTGTTCTCAACACACTATCAGAAGTAAATTGACGAGCCAGAAGAACCCGTGCTTGGGGAGATGGGGATTCTTTTTCTCCTACTGATATCTCTGAAGTTTCTTTCACTAGAAATAATGAGAATCTGCAGTTTCCAGATTGAGCCCTGAAGTTTCATTATGTAGTACTGAGAGAGGGGAAATAGCATAAGAAGCCTAAAATTTGCCACAGGAAATAAACATGTAAAAGAAAAATGTAACGTTTTGTGTGTGCGTGTGTTTGTTTTTAGTACAATAGTAATGGACTAAATTAAAATACACATTCCTGGGGTGTCTGGGTGGCTCAGTCAGTTAAGTGTCCAACTTCGGCTCAGGTCATGATCTCACTGTTCCTGAGTTCCAGACTCGCATCGGGCTCTGTGCTCACAGCTCAGAGCCTGGAACCCGCTTCTGATTCTGTGTCTCCCTCTCTCTCTGCCCCTCCCCTGCTTGAGCTCTGTTTCTCTCGCAAAAATAAAGAAACATTAAAAAAAATTTTTAACTACATGTTCTGGGAAGACAGTTTGTGTTTAGTCTTTGATTACAAGTACCCCCACGGGTTCAAATACCCCCAAGATGAAACTGAATCTTTGGTTTGTGGGTTGGGTAGCCCATGTGCCTGATTTCCTTTCATCTTTTTAACAATTTTTTATTTTATTTTATTTATTTAATTTGAAAGCAAGCACAAGTGGGGGAGGGGCAGAGAGAGAGGGGGACAGAGGATCCAAAGCAGGCTCTGTGCTGACAGGCTGACAGCAGAGAGCTCAAACTCACAAACCGCCAGATCACCACCTGAGCAGAAGTTAGACACTCAACTGACTGAGCCACCCAGGCGCCCCTGATTTTTAGTTTTTAATTTTAAGTCCAGTGTACTTAACATACAATGTTATATTAGCTTCAGGTACACAATATAGTGATTCAACAATTCCATATATTACTCAGTGCTTATCAAGACAAATGTACTCAATCCCTCTCACCTATCACCCACCCCTCACCCACCTCCTCTCTGGAAACCAACAGTATGTTCTGATTTCCAGGAAATAGGTAGGGGTCTGTTTTTGGTTTGTCTCTTTTTTTTTCTCTTTGTACATCTTTTTTTAAAGTTTATTCTGAGAGAGAGTGAGTGGTGTGTGTGTGCTCGCGTGTGCATGAGAGCAGGCAAGGGGCAGAGAGAGAGAGGGAGAGGGAGAATCACAAGCAGGCCCCACACCAGCAGCGTGGAGCCTGGTTTGAGGCTCAAACCCATGAACAGTGAGATCATGACCTGAGCTGAAACCAAGAGTCGGCGCTTACCCAACTGAGCCACCCAGGTGCCCCTCTTTGTACGTTTGCTTGTTTTTTAAATTCCACATATGAGTGAAATGATTTTCTTTCATCTTAAGAGGTCAGTAGCCCTGGACCAAATTCAAAAGCCACGGGATTTTGAGCTTCTTTCCTTATCCCATTCTGAGATAAACTCATTCCTTCAACATCTTGCTCATTGGATAAAAACTACCCCCACCCTTTTTTGGGGCTCCTGGGTGGCTCAGTCGGTTGAGCATCTGACTTTTTGCCTCAGGTCATGATCTCATTGTCCATGAGTTGAGCCCCTCGTCGGGCACTGTGCTGACAGCTTGGAGCCTGGAGCCTGGAGCCTGGAGCCTGGAGCCTGCTTCCGATTCTGTGTCTCCCTCTCTCTCTGCCCCTCCCCGCTCATACTCTGTCTCTATCTCAAAAATATATAAACATTTTTTAAAAATTAAAAAAAATAATAAACATGAAAAAAAAAGTCACTTCCCCTTTTTACCTTAATACTACTGCTTATACTATACAGTGAAGGGTAGCATAGGGGAGGAAAAAGTTTTCCTTAGTCCTCTTAGGGTCCCTGGCTGAGTCTGAAAGTCAAACCAACAAATACAGAATAACAGGAGAAGAGCACACAGTTTTATTTAACGTAGGTTTTATGTGACACAGGAAACTACATAAGGAAATGAAGACCCAAAGAAACAGACCTGAATATTTTTATGCTAGGTGTGATGAACTGTGGGCACTCATGTAGAAATACAGTAGGTTACAGAGTGTGAGATAAGTTTAATACACCAGGGGAAGCAGCAAGGCCTGTTTGTTAAGATTCTTCTGTATGTCCCTTTGTCTTTAGAGATAAAGATGCTCCTTTCTTCCTTATCTATCCCTCTAATCATATAGAGAAGACACAAGAGGCTTTTATGACCTGTTTTAGGGAAGAAGGCTTTGGGGAAGGGTCAGAGTGACCTTCCTGCTTATGTCCTTTTCTCAAAATTTCTCTGACTTAAAATATTCAATATTAATGTGCCATGTTTTGGGGCAGCATGTCCCGAACCCCATCAGCGACAGAATATGCCACCCCTAAATTATGTCACTTTGGCATAAGGATTATTTTGAGCTGAAGGCACTTGAAAAACAGCAGGTGCGAGAAGTCCTCTGACCTCCATTTCCTTCCTGAAAACAGGAGATTCCCCCCCCCCCCGCCCCCCGCCCCCAGGGATGAGGTCTTCCATACACCAGGAGGAAAACAACATTGTTTTCACCAAGGACAGGGAGTTGAAGCCAAGAGAAATCTGCACAAACAAACCTTGTTAAACTAACTCTGATCTTCCTCGTTCTTTTTCCTCCATGAACTGCCCTAGCCAAAGCGCTTTCACCTTGTGACATTTTCATGATTTACTACTCTCTGTCCAATTCAATATACAAGCAGTCAACTCTAACTGCTTCTTTGGATCTTCATTTCCTCATGAGAGCTCCCATGTCAAGTAAAACTTACAGTAAATATGTTTGTATGCTTTTCTCCTGTTAATCTGTCTTCCGTCAATCATCAGGCCCAGCCAAAAACTCTAAGAGGGAAGAGGTAAATTTTGCCTCCTCTACAGCAGATTTCAGTTTGAAGCGGTTAAGAAGATACCATTAGTTTCTGCCATATATTTCCCAGTCACTGTCCCACAACTTACTGTCTGTAGCCCAAGCCCCTCTGTCTGGTCATATTCCCAGATTTTATTGTTCCTTGTTTTTAGAAGCATGTATAACCTTCTGGGCCTCACAGCCTTTTTGGGTCTTCATTTTCCTTCTGAAGACTCCTGTGTACACATAAAAATATTAAAATCTGTATGCTTCTTTTTTCCTTTTCGGTCAGTCTTACATGAGCTTAATTCCTAGTCCAGCCACAGACTCTAAGAGGGAGAAGGAAGTTTATACCATGTCTGGTTTTTCCAATGCAACACATCCCAATGGAATGCAGTAGACTCAAGGAATGTTCACAGTATTCTAAAGCTATACAGATGAAAAGTATTTTTATTCCATTAACCAGTCTCATGAGATTTAAGCTACATAGTGCAAGAATTTTAAAGGTTATATTTATTTTCAACAGAAATGACTTGTTTTGTTTTTATTAAAAAAAACTTTTTTAATGTTTTATTTTATGTTTGAGAGAAAGAGCACCAGCAAGGGAGGGGCAGAGAGAGGTAGATACAGAATCCGAAGCAGGCTCCAGGCTCTGAGATGTCAGCACAGAGCCTGATGTCGGGCTCAAACTCACGAACTATGCACGGGATCATGACCTGAGCCGAAGTCGGACGGTTAACCCACTGAGCCACCCAAGCGCCCCTGTTTTGTTTCTTTTTAATGTTCAGGCTGCAGATGTTAGCATGATGCTATCCTTGATTTATGGGGAAAATTAGAATTGAATGCTCACAACTCAACTAATATACAGCCTGTCTGTAAAAAAATAAAGAAAAAAGGCTATTTTAAAAATGTATCTTCTTTCTCAACATTCCTTTCATTTTTGTAACCAACATCTATTGTGAATCCCAGGGTGTTGGTTTAGACAAGCGATGCCTGGTGAACCCATTCAATGAGCAGAGAACAAGGTGTATGGCTGGGGAAGAAGGAGAATGAATTCTCGCAGTCCCCATTAGAGTCACACCTTTGAGCTTTGAAGTTTAATCATTTTGAGATTTCTGAGTTTAAAATGACTAAAGAACAACCAGGAGGATCTATATGCCTTGGGCCTAGAAGTCTGATAAAGATACAGGATTCATTAGCATATAGAAGGTAGATGGAGCCAGAAGAGAGATAAAAAGGGGCATATATATAAGATTTCCTAAGATAAGGGCGCCTGGGTGGCTCAGTCATCTTGGCTCAGGTCATGATCTCCAGATTGATGAGATGGAATACCCCTTCCAGCTCTGTGCTGACAATGCTAAGCCCGTTTGGGATTCTCCCTCTCCCTCTCTGCCCATGCACCGCTGGCGCTTGCGCACTCCCTCTCTCAAAATAAACTGAAAAAAATAAACATTTCTTAAGATAATAAACATCCTTTAGAAAAAAAAAAAGACAATTCTTTCTGATGCAGAAACCACATCTTCTGATAGATTCTCCAAAAGAAGGCCCTGGTAAAGTAATGAACATGCCTTCAGTAAAGGACCCCTGTCAATTTCATAGGGCAGTTTCTGGTAAGGACTTTCAAAAAGGAGATTTCCCCTTGAGAAAACCAATTCAGCCAACTTTGCTGGCTCCTCAAGGGGGACACAGTTGGGTCACTGATTTCTGGCTGAAAGCAAGGGTTGATTTCAGACGATCTGTGGAAACGGAGTCTTCTTTCTGTATATATTGCTTCTTTCGCCAGAGCTTTGAATGACTGCGTTGCACTCACTGACTTCCTTGAGAAGGCTTGCAAGTATTCTAAGACCAATTCTCCTAGGATCTGACCTGGGTGAGGTGAAATTCCATGCCCCATATCAACAAAACAGACTAGACTCCGAAATTACGGCGATCTCCCTCCTCCCCCCTCCACATACAACCCAGGAGCGGCTGCTCTTGACATCACCTTCCAGGTGCGCCAAATGATCGGAACTGCTTTTGTTGCTGTTTTATGTAACCATGCCTCACAAGCCTGTGACCCTCTAGTCGGGATTAGACCAGGCGCTGGCGCCGTCTTCTCCTTCCCGTCTCTGGACTCCATTTGGTCTTTCTCTGGTCTTCTCACGCCAGAAAGACCTTTCCCCTTAGCCTAAATTTTACGCCCTGGGGGAATCCACAAACGGAGGGAGAAGCGAAAACGGCTGCGGCATCTGGACGCCTCACGTTGGATGGATGTGTGTTCTCCCAAGGACTATGACCGGGAGATTTTTTTTTAAACTAAGAGTCCACTTGCCATTAGAGGGAGCCGTGCAGCTGGCAGAAGGACTGATAGGAAATTAGCAGAGAAGAAATGACGCAATGCGGAGGGGGCGGGGACAATTTAGGGCGGGCTTCCCGCCTCTCGCCTTCTGTTCTCAATCTGGTCCGGTGCTCTGTTATATTAGGGGGTAAAACCGCCCTACTCTCACCGAAGGTTGTCTCCAGCTTGATTCTCGCCATGTCGGGGAGAGGAAAGGGCGGCAAAGGTTTGGGCAAGGGGGGTGCCAAGCGCCACCGCAAAGTTTTGAGAGACAACATCCAAGGCATCACCAAGCCGGCAATTCGGCGCCTTGCCCGGCGTGGAGGAGTCAAGCGGATCTCCGGCCTCATCTACGAGGAGACCCGGGGCGTGCTGAAGGTTTTCCTGGAAAACGTCATTCGGGACGCAGTCACCTACACTGAGCACGCCAAGCGCAAGACGGTCACGGCTATGGACGTAGTGTATGCCCTGAAGCGACAAGGACGCACCCTGTATGGTTTCGGAGGCTAAGCTGCCGCTTCATTTCTGCATCCATCCTGCCAACGGCCCTTTTTAGGGCCAACCATCTGGTCTTCGGAAGAGCTGGGCACTCGGGTAGAACTTTGGTAACTTTGTTTTTGGGAGTTGGGCTAGAGTCGGGTTTTGGGAAGTTCGTGAGAGGTAGGCATTCCTAAAGTGTTAACAGCCCTGAAAACCCAAGTCATGGGGCGCCTGGGTGGCTCAGTCGGTTGGGCGGCCAACTTCGGCTCAGATCATGATCTCGCGGTCTGTGAGTTCGAGCCCCGCATCGAGCCCTGTGCTGACAGCTCGGAGCCTGGACCCTGTTTCAGATTCTGTGTCTCTTTCTCTCTCTGCCCCTCCCCCGTTCATGCTCTGTCTCTCTCTGTCTCAAAAATGAATAAACGTTAAAAAAAATTTAAACCCAAGTCGTTCACTAAAAACTGCCTTTCGTGTGCTTGCTCCGTATTTTTGGTTCATTTTAAAAGGTCTTGTACTCCAGATTTAAGCAATGTTTCTGTTTGCTTTTGGGTGCGCTGTATTGTGATCGGTGGGCTGGGCTGCGGAAGGTAAGAACTAGCTATCTAGCTCACGACATTTGCTTCGGAGAAGTGGGAGAGCGGGCAGCCCAATGGTTTGCAATCTAGAGGTGTCCGTTGGGCCCCCCGGTGGTGTTGAGTCTCAATTCTCTATTTTGGGTTTCACTTCCTACCTCTACAAGAGGGTGTGGGCTAGATGGCTGAAGGGCCCTCTTCGCAGTGGACGATGTTTTGTAGTCTGAATTCTCACTTCAAAAGGTGCAAGAGCACTTAAAATCAAGAGAAATCCAGGTTATTAGAACAGATGAGATCACTACTGCAGTTTCTAAAAGCAAGTGGCGTATTATCTGCTGAGGGTACTTTTTTTTCAATGCTATATTCAAGGGACAGTTTGAGTCAAGGATGTGGGAAGACAACTGTCTTTCAGTGAAAACATTGCAAAAATACAGATGTCAGCTTCTACAAAAGCTGATGAAACTATAACATCATGGAAGCAAGTCTTCAAGAAGCAGTTAATTCAGGTGTGTCTTTTTCTTGTTAGAAATGCAAAATCTTGGATCCACCCCAGATCTATTCAGTGAAAAATTCTAGGGGGTAAGATCTAGCAATTTGTGTTTTAACAAATCCTTCAGGTGAGTATGATACTCAGTTTGAGAACCTTTGGTCTACATAACATAGTTTCTTTAAATGAAACTAAAGTATTTAAATCTGAGTAGATATGTCCCTAATTAAATTGTTTCCAAAATGTTACATTTTGCTTTCTTTGAAGGGGAAAAGAAAAACTCTAGGTGAATGAGCCTAGCAAATTTTCTGTAGTACAAAATATTACAGGAGGAAAAAAGTAAAACAGCTTATTTCTTCAAAGCATTTGAGGCAAACATAGAAGATATATGAACGAAAACTAGTCAGCTTGTTTTCCTAAATATTATTGGTTTGCGTTTTTAATACTGAATTTTGTAACCAATGTATGTTTTTTTCTTAAGTTTCTCTAAGATATCCTTTACCTGTTAACTACGCACCTTCTTTACAGTGATTTTAATAGTGATCCTTGTTCCCATTTTATCTTTCACTAAATACAGAACTTAAGTAGAGCATGTGTGGTAAACATAGATATAGGAACGAGTAGAAGGACCTAATACACACCATGTTGAATATTCATGAGGTACATGAGGTACCCAGTATTCAAACCTTAAATCAGCCATCTGTTGGTAATACGTGATATGGCCCAATGTGTCCTCTGCATGCATACACACAGAGAAATCCATAGCTATTCTGCAGGTTATTGGTGAATCACAACTATGGCCAGGCATACTTGCCCCTTATCTCACTGATCTTGGGAGCATAAATTAGCTTCAGGCACCTTCCATCCGGTAAGCCTCCTTGCCCGTCCTCAGCTGTCAACCTTTTAAGTGTAGCCCCAGTACAGAAGGCTGGTGCTGCAGACAGAGGCACGACAGAAGATTGTGTAAGTCCAGGGTTGGACGCCAAGTGGTGTTTCCGCCATCACTGCACCCTCTTCTAAGCGTGTTAACCTCCTCCATCACTTTCCCCCTCCTTCTTGTTTTATCTGTTAGTTTCAATTGTCTGTGTGGTTTGATATATTTGTCTTCACTTGGCCTATGAGGCTTTCTGTTCAGTGACCTCTGGGATTGCTTGTCTGGTAGTAGAGTAGGAAGCCATGATTATGGCAAAGTAATTTCTTACCACAACTATATTACGGAAAAGGGCTGATTGGAGGCAGATTGGAAACAAGGGGGGTGGGAGGAGACACAACCGTGGGTTTGGGACCATCCAGGTACCCTCCAGGGCAGGTGGTAACCTGACTCTAGCGAGCATATCCAGTTCCTGCAACAAGGCAGCCTTTACAGTGAGACAGTATCCTGGCTGAGTAATGGCAGCCACTGAGCTCATCTGTCTCCACGCTCTTCCCCAACTTCTTGGCCGTAGTTTGGCTTTTGGTATAGGTTTGCCTGCAGGGAGCTAAGGAACGAATCATGTTTCTTGTTGGAGATTAAGAGCATGATTTCCAGAGCCAGACAATTCAGGGTAGGATCTGAACTTCACCATTTACTAACAGTGAAACCGTGGGAAATCCCTTAATCTCTGAAGCTCATTTTCTTTCTCGGTAGCATTTAAGAGGAAAAGAACACCTACTGTGTGAGGGTTTTATGTGGATAACATGTATTCATATTTATAAAGCAGCACTTTGACTCAATAAATGCTACTACCTATTAATAATTATTATTAGGGTTTATGCATTTGTCCCTCGAGAGTCTTGTCAGTGGGATCTAGGTCCTCAGAGCCCACCTACCCAGGCTAACAAGAAAATGAAATTTCTGAGCCTACAAGAGCCAAGGACCCACCTGGAATGGGGTGAGAAAGGGCCGAGGAGGACACCCTGTTGACATCCTTCATTTTCCACTGCTTCACAATGCAGTAAGACCAAATATAGTAATAACGTCTCAAACATTAGACACAAAAACAAAGTAGCAAAGAAAGAGCAGAAAGGAAAAAGATTCTCAACGAAAGAAACAGAAACCCAAAATCAAAACCTGGCCGAGGAAAACTTATAAGCTCACAGTTTAGCCCTGGTGGGCTGGAGAGGACCTGCTACTTTAAGAAAGTTTGCAAGATCAGGAAGCATCTTTGTTCTCATCCTGATGTTTGAGAGGGACTATGAGAGTCAGACCCAAATAACAACCTGGCCAAATTTAAGTTTGCTGATGTCCGAAGCCGGTTGTACCAAAACTTTTGGAAGACAATTTAGCAATAGCCATCAAAATTACTGAAAAATATACCCCCAAGTTATATGCACAAGGATAATAAATTGCAGTTGTGTTTCTGGTGGTAAAAATCTGGAAAACACCTAAATATCCATTAACATGAGTCTGAGTAAATAAATTAAAAAGCATCCATTAAATGGGGGCACCTGGGTGGCTCAGTCGGTTAAGTGACTCTTGATTTCCACTCAGGTCATGATCTCACGGTTTATGGGATCAAGCCCCTCATCAGTGCGGAGCCTACTTGGGATACTCTCTCTCGCTCACTTTCTGCCCCTCTCCCCTGCTGGTGCTCTCTCTAAAAAAAAATAAATACACTTAAAGAAACATCCATTAAATGAAAAACTGTGCATCCTTTAATAAAAATGAGGCAGATTGATACAGAAGTATATATATATATATATATATATATATATATGGAATATAGAAAGAAAGAGCGAGATTAATTGGGACAAAGACCAAATATATATTTTTTATTGTACATCACAATACCACAGCTAAGCATACCCTAAAGAGCTGACTCTTGGAGAACGTTGAGACCAGGCAGAGATTAGACCCAATGGAATAAAGCTTGCAGATCTGTGTTGATTCTGAGCAAGTTGAGGGTGAACTCTTGGGTGCAAGATGGATTGCAGGGAGCAGAGAATGAGAAACTGAAACCAGTTAGGAGGCTGTTGTAAGCTATGGAGACACTGGCCAAGAATGGTGGCAGCAGGACTGGGGAAGATCGGAAAAAGAGATGGTGAGAACACGAGGCACAGAAGCCCCTGGTTCCCTTAAATTTGAAGTGGGCATTTGGGTTAAATTGAGATACTTCTGTTTGATTTGAATTAAAAAAACTTTTTTTTTAATGTTTATTTATTTTCGAAGGAGAGAAAGACAGAGTGTGAGTGGGGGAGGAGCAGAGAGTGGGAGACACACAATCCGAAACAGGCTCCAGGCTCCGAGCTGTCCACACAGAGCCCGACACGGGACTCGAACTTATGAGTCTTGAGATCATGACCTGAGATGAAGTCAGATGCTTAACCGACTGAGCCACCCAGGCGCCCCTGATTTGAATTTTTAAATAAAAGAATGCATAATAGTTCCCATCTATTGAATACCTACTATGTACCATTTCAAATCTTCAGAACAACCCCACAAAGTCAATAATACCTTTATTTTTCAAAGCAAGAAACTGATATTTAAGCTGCTTGAATAACTTGGCATTCTCTGATACATCCTGGTGCTCCTGAATCTTACTAAAATATTTGTTTAAAATTTTCAAATTGCAAATAATAGGATCTTTGAATACATTTGCCATATTCATTTAATGAAACCATTCCATGTGGATGATGGAAAGGACCTCATCTGGTCTAATTTTCTCATTATATTTTTCCTCTGGTTTCGAGACAAAACTTTATGCCAGCTTCCATTTCCTACCAGATCCCTCATTGGTATAGATGTTCCTGAGAGGCCTGTCCTTCGGGCCATCTCTTTGGAAGCTCTTCCCAGGAACTCCCAAGTGTTTCTCTAGCTCCTAAGGGCAGATGAGAGAATCCAGCTGAGTCTCTAGACCTACATCCAGATCTACATTCCCAGCTGCCTGAAGGACACAGCCACTTGCCACTGCCTGGTGACAGCTCTGACCCAGCGTGGCTTGATGTGAACCCCTCAGCAGCACCCCCCCACCCCTGCCCCTGGCTGCCTGTTCCTGTGAAGATGGCAGGGTCCTCCAATAGTCACTCAGGCAGGACGGTCTCGAGATA